CCTCAGTTTGTTTTGTGACATTAAGAGTCTCTTATGGTTTGTCTCCCCCCCCGATCCTATCTGTTTCATTTATTCTTTTCCTACCCCCCCAACTCCCCATGTTGCATCTCCACTTCCTCATATCAGAGAGATCATATGAGAGCTGTCTTTCTCTGATTGACTTATTTCGCTAAGCATGATACCCTCTAGTTCCATCCACGTCGTTGCAAATGGCAAGATTTCATTTCTTTTGATGGCTGCATAGTATTCCATTGTATATATATACCACATCTTCTTTATCCATTCATCTGTTGATGGACATCTAGGTTCTTTCCATAGTTTGGCTATTGTGGACATTGCTGCTATAAACATTCGGGTGCACGTGCCCCTTTGTATCACTCCGTTTTATCTTTAGGGTAAATACCCAGTAGTGCAATTGCTGGGTCATAGGGTAGCTCTATTTTCAACTTTTTGAGGAACCTCCATGCTGTTTTCCGGAGTGGTTGCACTAGCTTGCATTCCCACCAACAGTGCAGGAGGGTTCCCCTTTCTCCACATCCTCGCCAGCATCTGTCACTTCCTAACTTATTAATTTTAGCCATTCTGACTGGTGTGAGGTGGTATCTCATTGTGGTTTTGATTTGTATTTCCCTGATGCCAAGTGATGTGGAGCACTTTTTCATGTGTCTATTGGCCATCTCGATGTCTTCTTTGCAGAAATGTCTGTTCATGTCCTCTGCCCATTTCTTGATGGGATTATTTGTTCTTTGGTTGTAGAGTTTGATAAGTTTTTAATAGATTTTGGATACTAGCCCTTTATCTGATATGTCGTTTGCAAGTATCTTCTCCCATTCTGTCAGTTGTCTTTTGGTTTTGTTAACTGTTTCCTTTGCTGTGCAAAAGCTTTTGATCTTGATGAAGTCCCAATAGTTCATTTTTGCCCTTGCTTCCCTTGCCTTTGGCGACGTTCCTAGGAAGAAGTTGCTGCAGCTGAGGTTGAAGAGGTTGCTGCCTGTGTTTTCCTCAAGGATTTTGATAGATTCCTTTCTCACATTGAGGTCCTTCATCCATTTTTCGTCTATTTTCATGTGTGGTGTAAGGAAATGGTCCAATTTCGTTTTTTCTGCATGTGGCTGTCCAAAGAGCAACAGAATTTTAACAATTAGTTTTCTGAATCAGTTCTGGGGTTTCTGGAATTGACTCTTTAATCTGATTAGATTTACTTTATTTTATTTTTATTATTTAACTCAAAGACTTGTTTTATTACAGGACATGGGTTGGGACAAATGGGAAGGGGTAGATATAGTGGGCAACTATGGCCCTAATTAGTATTGGATGCCCATCCTGATGGCCGTGAATGTGCTAAAGATGCCACCACTCTGCATTATGGTTTTCCTGATGCCACCCATCAGCTCCCAACCCCACATTCCAACCCTGAGCAAAAAAAAGTACCCAAGAGCACTCCAGCTGCCATAACCACTGCATAGCCCATCATAAAGCCCATCTACACGTGGTTGAAGCAGGTTGGCTTGGTGTGTCTATAGCGACCTATAGCCACTGGCATCCTCTTAGTGTTCAGGTCCCTGTACCATGGTGCCCCCACCTCACCTCTAATCTGATTAAAAATACTAATGACTCTATTTCTAGTAGTAGAGTGTAGTAGTTTCGTTTGATACATAAATTTTGAGGACATTAATGTTATTATGAACATAGTCCTTACTAGTTTACTGAATTTCTGAATTTTTTCTGTTGCTTTATAAATTTGGTTTTATACCCCTTTTGATTTATTAAGTAGTTGAATCTTTTCATTTTTCTGTCCTGTACCTCTTGCCACACCCCCTTAATGGTTGATGCCATTTGCCAGACCAAATATTTTCTTTTTAATGTCTTAAGACTTTCTTTTTCCACCGATCACATCTTTATAGTTTTTTTTTTTTTCTGGTAATATCTTAAAACATAACCAATTATGCAAATCTCTAGTTTAGTAACTCAAGACTGGAAACCATGTGCTGGTCACATCACTTGAACCCTCTGCATCAATACCTAAGATACTTATGGAAAATGGAGTTTTCTGGGATTCCACATTACAATAAGTACCAAGAATTTGCATCTTTAACAAGCTCCCCAGGGGATTACTATAGTTTGAGAATCATTGTCCTAAGCATTATTCTCCACCTTTTCTTTCTTCCTTTTAAGTACCTAACCTAAACAATGCAAATCTAAAACCTAAAAATCTTTGTGATTTTGAATACCTAAGACAAACCATTGATTCCACTTTCCAAAAAATAGTTTTATGGAGGGAAGCTACTTTTAAAGTAAAGTTTTTTTAAAAGTTGAGAGAAATGTTGTGATTTTATTTGTAGATTACTTTTCTAATAAAGGATTACCTCACTTAGCAGCTTTATTTCTGGTAAATCTCATCTTTTGAATATCTTCAGATTTTTTTAGGATTTTATTTTTAAATTTGTTCTCTTTTTTGTAATATAACATATGTGTGATGTGTAAACATAATAAAATGTCTCGTTCATTGAATATAAATTTGCAAAATATTTTGAAATGAGTTGACCAGTATTAGTTTCATTCCTACACTTTTGCCAAGCTACCTGGAAAATCAAGCTAATTTTTTTTCTAGTTCATTTAAAAAATACATTCATTGTTATATATTCTAGGCATTTACACTGTTCGCTACGCATTTCCTGGAACTATGTCATATAGAGGTCCTGTATCCTAATGTAGAAAACATGCATTTTGAAGTTCAGCATGTGAAGAACACTTCAAGGAATAAAGAAGCAATCTTGTATACCTACAAACTTTGTAAGGGACTCACAGAAGAAAAAAATTATGGTATTGCATATGGAAATTATATAATATCTATTGAAACACTACATATTCTCATAATTCTTTTCCCCTTTACTTGGCTCTTAATCTAAGCAACTTTTCCTATCATTCTTTTGAGTGTTTATGCTCTAAGACTGTATTTTCTATATCAAGCACGCATTTTATGTATATTAAGTTTATATTTAAATTTATATTAATCAGTACTTATGTAGAATTACAATACATTAAAGTCCCAGAAGTATTAGTTTCTATTCTGAGGAAAATGTAATTTAGTTTATATTTGCAAGTTATAAATGAATTGAAAATTGTATATTTCTTATACACTTTTTCAGTAACATCTGTTTTCTTCAGATATAGGGAACTTGATCATCTAAAGTCTTAAAAGGGAATGTATTACCAAACCATATGATGCTTGTAAACTTGATTAGATATTTTCTACCTAAATCATTATATGACGTGTAAAATCTCATGGATTCAGAAATTTTTAAATTGATCCATAAATATAAATTTCCTAAAATAATTTTAGCTATGAATGTGACCCTCTGTGGGGCGGGAAGCATCTTTGTTTTGCTATTTGAAATGAGAAATCAACTGCATAACTTAATTTGTATCAGACACTCTATTTTTATAAGCTTTAATTTCATCTATTACATGGGGATAATTTTCCATGTATGTAGGGCTTATGAAGATTAAATGAATTATCAAACATCTGTTTAATATAGTACCTAGCAATTAGTAACTTCTCTAAATGTGCGAGCTTTGTGTCTATTGCCTCTAAAGAAATACATACAATAAACTGTTAACACACTGTAGAAAGCCTTTGTGGCATTTATACAACAAAATTAGGCTCAGGGAACATGAGAATACTAGGTAGTACTTTGAATTGCATGAAGAATAGTCATCTATAGTTATATCTTGTGAGAAATTCCCCTCTCAGTGATCTGCTAGACAGATGAATATTCAGCTTTAGGGTTATCTCTGTGACTAGGGTTCTCTCTCCTCCCTTGCAAAGCTCATATTCTTTGACCTTCTATTAATCAACTGCATTTGTAGTTGGAATTTCATTGTTATTATTCAGTTTTCTAGTTACCCCTTTTCTTTTCCCTATCATGTTTTCCTGTCTCAGATATATGTTGAGAGGTAATTGATATTCTAACTTGTCATACATCTTGGACAACTAATTAAATCTTATGATTGGTAAATTGTCATCCAGAACTTTGGAAAACTTAATTTTGAGAATGGCTAAGTTCTTCATAAATGCCTGTAGGATGGAAGTTTAAATCTGTGAAGAAAAGATTATTACTGCTTAAAATAAATGTAATACCTGCCATAACAACAACAACATATAGCCCATTGTCTATAATTTTAGGATTAAAAGCTGCAGAGGTGTCATCACTCCCATCATCAATTGTCTTGGATGCCAAAGAAATCACAACTCAAATTACGAGACAGACTTTGGTAAGAAACTTTTTAGCAATAAGAATTGCTTTTCCAATTCAGGAAAATACTTTTAGTGTACATTATTATAATGGTGTTGTATCTAAATATATACTAATATTAATGATTAAAGCATTTAAAATAAAACCTATTTTTTTAAAAAAGATTTTATTTATTTATTTGACAGAGATAGCATAAGTAGGCAGAGAGTAGCAGGCAGGGAGAGACAGAGAAGCAGGGTCTCCACTGATCAGGGATCCCAAAGTGGGGCTCAATCCCGGGACTTTGGGATCATGACCTGAGTCAAAGGCAGCCACTTAACTGACTGAGCCACTCAATCCCCTAAAAACCTAATTTTAAATAAGGCAAATCTTTTTTTTACTTCTCACAATTTTTTTGGTTTGGTCTATTTCAACCTTTCCCAACAAATCAACCAGTAAGTTAGTAGACAAAAGTTAAACAGTTTGGTTCCTATAATACTTACTGCTACACTAACTTTATGATGAAAAAATAAGTCTATATAAAGTAAGCATTAAAAATAAAAATCACTCTGATGAATCACAGACCTGTACCCCTGAAACAAAAAATACATTATATCTTAATAAAAAATAAAAGAAAAAAATAAAAATCACAGGTTGCCTGGGTGGCTCAGTCAGTTAAGTATCTAACTCTTGATTGGCTCATGTCATGATCTCAGGGTTGTGAGATTTAGCCCCAAGTTGGCCTCTGCACTGGCTGTAGAGCCTGCTTAAGATTCTCTCTCTCCCTCTGTCCCAACCCCCACTCATACTTGTTTTCTCTAAAAAATAAATAAAAATAAAAAATAAAAATTACTATGCACCATACTTTAGCATCTTTTTTTTTTTAAGATTTTATTTATTTATTTGACAGACAGAGATCACAAGTGGGCAGAGAGGCAGGCAGAGGGAGAGGGAGAAGCAGGCTCCCCACTGAGTAGAGAGTCTGACGTGGGGCTCGATCCCAGGACTCTGGGATCATGACCTGAGCCAAAGGCAGAGAGAGGCTTTAACCCACTGAGCCACCCAGGTGCCCCACTTTAGCATCTTTTAAAATAGTATTTAAGACTTTTATCCATTATCATATATAAGCCTCCTGACTCTTCATGAAGCGGTTAGGTCTTTCTAGTATAAGATTAATAAGCTGTTACTTTTACTCATGTTTTTGCAACTGAGGTTCACAGAGGTTAAGTGTTTTGCTATTGAACTCACATCTATTGACTAAAAATTTGGAAATCTTTTTTTTTAACATCAGTTTGCTTTATGTTTTAAGAATACAGTGTGTTCAGTAAACTAAGCCATGTTCATTATGAAATTTTCTTCAGTAGTAACAGTTTCCTTTGTCTTTCTCTCTTAACCTGCTTTTAATTTTTATTGTATCCCTTTAGTCTCTTGAGTTTCTAGACTATCTTCATGACTTTACTTACCTAATCCTCCATTTGAATCTCTTCAACAATTTTGGTAGTGTTGGCTTCTGAAGAATCTCTCATTACCTAGTTCCTTAGTCTTCATCTTGTAAGATTCCAATTATGTCAAGCCTTCTTGAGTTGCCTTCTAGGCTTTGGCTTTCCTGATAATGATTCTCAAAATATATTCTAGACAAACTAATCTTATCTACAGCAAATTCATATATTCTACCTTTAGTCAAATATTTTATTGGATAGTTTTTTCCCCTTTTATTGTTCTGTATAGTTTCTTTAACTCTCAAAACATTTCTACTCTTCCCAAACTTTACCCTCAATGTCCTCACTCTACAGAAAATTCACTTCCTATATTTTTTGAGAGACTTGAAGTTATCTTGATGAATCCTTAAACTTCTTGAAAACTCTATTTTGGAATATCTGTTTTTCACCACGTTCTCTTCTTTCCTATCTCAGAGTAAAAGATTATCTTTCAATTTATTCAAGGCTAACTTTTCTACCTTCTTTCCATATCCAATAAGATATAACTTCATCAGATTCCTTTCTTCTCTCTCTTTTTAAAGATTTTATTTTAAATAATTTCTATACCCAACATGGGGCTTGAACTCACATTCCTGAGAGCAATAGTCACGTGAGCCAGTGAGGTGCCCCACTTTTTAAAAAAGATTTTTTAAAAGTAATTTCTATACCAAACATGGGGCTTGAGTTTACAATCCTGAGATCAAGAGCCATATGTTCTACCAACTGAGACAGCCAGGTATCCTTTGTTCCCCTTCTTCTCTTTGCATCCTTAGTGTTTGTTCACTGGCTTTTCCTTTTCCTATGAATATGCTTAGGTTTTTCCTAAGAAATCCTTCTTTATTACCTTACTTCTCAAAATATATTTCTCTCTTCCTTTTTTTTTTTTTACTGCCAACATCTTAAGAGATTATAATAACGATTTACTTCTTCCATTTTCTACTTGCAAACTAGATCTTGTCATCATGCCACTGAAACTTTCTTTGTGAAATACCTACTAATGATTAACTCTTATGGCCTTTTTTTTTCCACTTCTCATCTTCCCTGGTCTCTCTGTGGTGTTTGATACTACCCTTCTTTACCTTTTCATAATTCTTTTCTGTCTTGGCTACTGTGAAATGGTCCTCTCCTGAATGTCTTCATTTCCTACCTCCGATTACCCCTTTTTTTCTTTTTTCACCAATGCTTTTTTTTGTTCAATTTTTATTTAAATTCTAGTTAATTATACAGCAATATTGGTTTCAGGAGTAGAATTCAGTGATTCACCACTTATTTACAATATCCAGTACTCATCACAACAAACACCCTTCTAATACCCATCACCTATCTAGCCCACCCTCCCTACCTCCTTCTATCAACTGTCAGTTTACTCTATTGTGAATAGTCCCTTATGGTTTGTTTCCTTCTCTCTTTTTTTTCCCTCCCTCCTATATATTCATCTGCTTTCTTTCTTAAATTCCACAAATCATATTGTATTTGTCTTTCTCTGACTGATTTATTTTGCTTTAGCATAATATACTCTAGCTCCATCCATCCATCTGTCTTGCAAATGGCAAGATTTCATTTTTGGCTGAGTAATATTCCATTGTATATATATACCACCTCATCTTTATCTGTTCATCTGTCGATAGACATCTGGGCTCTTTCCATAGTTGGCTATTGTTGATAATGCACATAGCCCTTAAGTCTGTATTTTTGTATCCTTTGTGTAAATACCTACTAGTGTAATTCCTGGGTCATCAGGTAGTTCTATTTTTAACTTTTTGAGGAATCTCCATACCATTTTCTGGAGTGACTGCACCAGTTTGCATTCCCACCAACAGTGCAAGAGGGTTCCCCTTTCTCTTCACCCTCACTAACATCTGTTGTTTCCTGTGTTGTTAATTTTAGCCATTCTGACAAGTGTGAAGTGGTATCTTGTGATTTTGATTTGTATTTCCCTAATAATGAGTCTTTTTATGTGTCTGTTAGCCATCTGGATGTCGTCTTTGGAGAAATGTCTATCTCATGTCTTCTGCCATTTCTTAACTGTATTACTTGTTTTTTTATGTGTTGAGTTTAATAAGTTCTTTATAGATTTTGGATACTAACGCATTATCAGATATCTTCTCCCATTCTGTAGGCTGCCTTTTAGTTTTGTTGATTGTTTCCTTTGCTGTGCAGAAGCTTTTTATCTTAATGAAGTCCCAATAGCTCATTTTTGCCTTTGTTTTCCTTGCCTTTGAAAACATATCTAGCAAGAAGTTGGTGCAGCCGAGGTCAAAGAGACTGCTGCCTGTGTTCTTCTCTAGGATTTTGATAGTTTCCTGTCTCACATTTAGGTCTTTCATCCATTTTGAATTTATTTTTGTGTATTTTACCAGTGCTTTTTATCATTCCACTTACTAAATGGAAATTTCCCTAAGATTTTGCCCTTCCTTCTGTGTTTGAAACTATTTTCTTGGCGAGCTCATCCATTTCTCAGCTTACATTTTCACTTCTTTTTTACTTTGAATCCATATATTTTTCTTTGTATTTCTTCTTGAAATCTCAGTTTATGTTTTCATTCTTTAATAGGACCAAAATTAAATTTATAATATAAAAAAAATCTCATTTTTTTGCTCCTAAATTTCTCAGCGACCCATTATAATCATCTTTGAATCCTTCTTAATCACCTCTCATTAACACTGTGCAGTAGATTCTCTTTTTCAATCCATCATATATACATATACCAGATTATCTCCTAAGCATGACTTTTATCATGTTCAGAAACTTTTGGTTGTTTCTTACAAAATTAAAGTGAAACTCCTTAGCCAGGGACCATTCTAAATTTTTGAGGATTTCCTGTGGCTTAGGAATTTACATTTTTAACCAGTCTTCAGATGATTCTTAAACACACTAAAGTTTGTTAACTACTGCTTTATGATCTCCCTTTTACTACCCCAACCTTAGATAACATTTCTCAATTTAACTAAAACCTACATTTCTGCCACATTGAATTACTTGTCATTTCATCATTTTGACCTGTGTACCAGGATTTCTAATGTGTCTGCTCTCGCTGTTTCCTCCATCCAGAATGCCCTTACTTCTCTGTTCTTCTGTCCATCAAGAGTCATTCCAAATATTCCATCCTACTTAAGCCTTTCTTGACCTGAGCTGGGTATGAGTTCTCCTTCCTCTAAACTTTGAATCTCTCTCCTGAGACTTATCATAATTACCTAAATCTGCTGCTTATGAATATGTCTCTTTCACTATAATAATATGTCTCTTTCTTTGAGCCTCTTGAGTTCCAGTGGCATGTCAGATCGACATTTTTGTATCCCCAGTAGACATAAACACAAGGTTGGGGGCCTGGAATATAGATGATAATAGATATTCAGTAAATGTGTATTATTTAGATAATAAACTGATAGTTGATCATTCAATGTATCAAATAGATAGATGGGTGAATATATGATAATCTTATTTTACTTCATGGAGTTGGATTCATTTTACTTATATTGAGAGAAGAAAAATATCTTGGAAGTGCTTTCTATTGAGGAAGAGTTGGAGGGATTTTATTTCACTTAGTAAAAGGAATCTCACTAACTTTACATTAACAGTTAAGACTGAAAATGGTAATTCTTCTATCTAGCTCAGGAAACAAGGTGGATGAAGAATTTTCCAGCTGTACTCCTATCCCTTTGAATAATAATTCAAATACTATCTAAAGGTCTTCTAAAATATTAGAAAATTCCCCTTTTAAACATTATTTCTTGGGCATCCTAACTATAGATTGTTAAGAATTGGCATAATTTCAAGTAGCTATTTATAGCACTTATTTTCAAAATATAATCTACTCCTCAAGCAATATATTGTCTTAGATTCTAGCAGTTTCTATACATTAAATCTCTCAGAGGGACAAGCAACTTACTGTTGACCCATTCTGTCTACCAGTTTTATCTATTGGGGAATTAAAGTAGGAGATAGCAGAGTAGTACTCTTGGGTGACATTTAAAATGAATACTGAATAGCAATGAGCAATTATGTTGAGTGAGAAATTTTACCTATTTAGCAGATCTTTTTTCATTGAAAAGTGATTTTCAAGAATATAGGAATCCATGATAAAGTAAATACTCATGAAAAATTTTATTTTTTCAAAACAATATTTCTTTATTTTTTCTGGTATGTTCTTTGCTAGTTGAATGGAATTGACGTATCCAAAGAAATTAGTTACCTTTGAGTTCTATATTTCTATGAAAGGAAAGAGAAAATTGTCAAAATTTTAAAACAAAGTCATACTAATCATATTTTAATTTTTATCTATATTTTTTCAATAACAGCAAAACCAAAGGAGTACCCCTGAGATGGAAAGACAGAGAGCTGTGTACCATCTAGCTACTAGGCTTGTTCAAACTGCTCGAAACTCTCAGTTGGATCCAGACAGTTTACGAATGTATTTAAGTAATCTCAAAAAGAAGTATGAAACAGATTTTTCCAGGGCTGAACAAGTTTCAGGAAAGACTGAAGAATAGTAACAATTTATATCATGTACAAATCAAATAGTATATGTTCATATAGGGAAACTAGGATTCAATTTTCCTAAGAGCAAAAGAAAATATTTGCTTAATTTTATATCTTAATGGAAAATTACATTACATTATACTAACCTCAGAATTATCATCTATCTATTGTATATAAAAAATTTGTTATGACTTAAAATATGAAAACCATTGAAAGGACTTTTTATGTTAGAAAAATGTCAGTATAACATTATAGTTTTTCTCATTTATGAAAACTCATGTTACTAAGTCTTAAGTGTATTTATACCAAGTTATGGTTTAAAATGTTATTGTAAATGCCTTAGTTTTTGGAAAAGAAAAAACCACCTTTTTCTTTTTTTCCAGTCTGGAAACTTATGTGAGTTATTTTACACTCTCTTTTGAAGCAATAAGACCCTATGGCTCAATAATTGCTTAATTAGTACCCCCAAATTCCAACACTGGATACTTATGGAGTTTGTTAAAATGATATTGGAAGTTTTAAAGTGTTTTTTTTTTTTTTGACATTGAGTATAGTTCTAAAAGGTGAAAATAAACAAATAGATATTTTGTAATGCAGAGAATGTTTTTGGAAGGGGGAGTTGCCATCACTCACCCTTTCAATTTTCCAAATATAAGGCGTTCCATTTTCTACTCACCAACCTCTTTTCCAAGTTTCAGTTTTGGCCATCTTTATTAGGTGAGTAACCAAAGCGGCAAAAAGGTAATATTGATTCATTTGCCTCAGGGAGCATTTTATAGAACTGTTTTTCCATAAGCATGTGGCTTACACCATCATTTCAGAGCTTACCCAAAGGTCATTCTTGTTTCATAAATGGACCAAAAAAAAAAAAAAAAAAGTGGGGGGAAGACAATCGGTTGGTCAGTAACTGTAAGGAGCAGGGCTGTTGTCTTCTCAAATACCTTATTTCTACAATTCCATCTCATTAGATGACTTATTTACATAATCTTAGCACAAAGGCCCAAAATGGGGAAGTTATTCTTTTCTTGGACAATTAAGTATCTGGAACTCAGGGAATACATTCAATAAGCTGCAGAATTCATAATTCTGGCCACTAATTTGGCCAAAAAAATATATTCACAGACTGGTTAGGGCCCTATTTTTTTGTTAATGTATTTGTATTTTATAAAATCTAATATTTTTTACTTTATTAAATTCTAAGTAATAGATATATTGAAAAAGTTTTATTTAAATAACATATGTTTTAAAATGTGAATGTAAATTGGTGTTCATATTTTAATTTGATACATGTTAAACATCCCATTAGACTACATGTATTCCCTATTGTCATGTTTTAGAGAGTACCACAATATCTGAATTTGACCATTAACCATGTATTAATTCACAGTCTTTAAAATGAATTATATTGTATGTAGTCATTCCTAAAAGCAGTTTGATAACAGGTTTGCCCCAAATTTCTAAAAGGGACTGAGAATGAAAAGGGCATGGCAGATTGGGAAGAAAAGGGAAGAAACAATAAAAGGCAGAAGGGGAGTATGCAGTGGGAGAAAAACAGGCAAGCAGAGATAAGAGCAAAGTATTAAATATGCAGAATATAATTTCCTTAAATATATTAATTTCCCTTTAGGTTTAACCCTAATATTAGATTCTATCAGACTTTTAAGAAATTTTTCATGATTTAGAACTTTTGATGCAGAAACTGTAGCCAACTGATTAATCCCTTTTGTTTCAGTTTAGAATACTGAAATAAAAATAGGTTTATATCTTCTTAAAATTAAATTTTTTTCTTCAGTTGTTTTGTGTGTAGCCAAAACACAAAAAAGCAAATTAGGGGCGCCTGGGTGGCTCAGTGGATTAAGCCGCTGCCTTCGGTTCAGGTCATGATCTCAGTGTCCTGGGATCGAGCCCCGCATCGGGCTCTCTGCTCAGCGGAGAGCCTGCTTCCTCCTCTCTCTGCCTGACTCTCTGCCTACTTGTGATCTCTGTCTGTCAAATAAATAAATAAAATCTTAAAAAAAAAAAAAGCAAATTAAATGAAGATATAATTGTTATGTTATGGTACTATAAAATAGAAATGAATACTAGGGAGACAATCCATTCTTTAATTTTAAGGTCTACTTGGTCTCCTCTTCAGTACCTTTTTGCTTTGTCTTTCTCTAAAATTATAGATCATTATCTCATAATCCAGCCTTTTAAGATAAATGTTCATTATGCTGTAAAAAACTCCTTTAATTTCCACCTCAAAGCCATTCTTTTAATCTGTTCCATCTTTCTCTTCACATAAAGTAGTCTTTTACAAGTCTAGGGTTAAGGTATATGGAAGTAGAAGAAAAAGGCAGCTTATACTCATGCTTAGGAAGTAGTGCATTTGTTTGTTTTAAAATTTGCATATAATACAATTAACTCTTTTTTTGATGTAAAATTTTATGAATTTAGCACATTTATGGATTCAGGAAACCACTAGGACAATCCTTTTGTTCACCTAACAGTTCCTTTACCTTCACATCATTCCCTTAGTACTGTCCCTTTGTTGTCAAATCCATGCCTGACCCCTAACTTTAACCCAGCAATCACTGGAAATTAAGCATTCCATCCCTATAGTTTTGTTTTTTCCATAATGTTCGAAAAATGGTATCATATAGCATGGGATCTTTTGAAACCGGCTTCTTTTACTCAGCATAATACTTTGTAGAATTTGTCCATGTTGTTGTGTCCTTTTATTGCTGTCTATTTCATTGTTTGTATGTGCCATAGTTTACCCATACACTCTTTGAAAGACAATTGGGGTTCCATTTTTGGTGATTAAGAATGGAGCTGCTATAAACATTCTTGTATAGATTTTTGCATATTAAGTTTTAATTTACCTAGGTTAAAGAGGAGTAGAATGGCTTTGTCATCTTGTATGTGTTTAACTTCATAAGAATTTGCCAAACTGGGACGCCTGGGTGGCTCAGTTGGTTAAGCGGCTGCCTTCGGCTCAGGTCATGATCCCAGCGTCCTGGGATCGAGTCCCACATCGGGCTCCTTGCTTGGCGGGGAGCCTGCTTCTCCCTCTGCCTCTGCCTGCCTCTCTGTCTGCCTGTGCTTGCTCACTCTCTCTCCCTCTGTCTCTGGCAAATAAATAAATAAAATCTTAAAAAAAAAAAAAAAAAAAAAAAAAGAATTTGCCAAACTGTTTTCTAAAGTGGTTCTTAAATTTTGCATTCCCATCAGCCATGGCTGAGAATGTTCCACATGTTCTCTAACACTTGGTATTATCAGTTTTTGTTTTTTTTTTAATTTTAGCCATTCCAATATGTATATAGTGAGTAATGCATTTTTAAATTTTAAAGCTGTTCTGCTAATTCTTTAGCAAACAAAACCTATTCTGACTTTTTAAAAAAGATTTTATTTAATTATTTGACAGAGACATAGCAAGAGAGGGAACACAAGCAGGGGGAGTGTGAGAGGGAGAACAGGCTTCCCAGGGAGCAGGGAGCCCAGTGTGGGGCTCAATTCCAGGACCCTGGGATTGTGACCTGAGCCAAAGGCAGACGTTTAATGACTGAGCCACCCAGGCACCCCCCTATTCTGACCTTTTTAAGCAAATTATATCACTATCTTATATGCAAGTGTTAAAAAATATTCAAATGTCAATAAATTGTGTGTAGTATGGACTTCCTACATGCTTATTTATGAGCTTAAAATATGCTCAATTGTAATTAAATATACTTTAGTTAAATGTATGGATTCAATTCTATAATGCATTTCTACTTCACAGGAATGAAAATGGAAGGAAAGGAAAAGCAAATGATCTAGTTATATTGCTGCTTTGCTATTTCCATTCTATTATTTAGAAATTTAAATCACACAGTTGTTTATCTTACTACAGGACCAGAATGAAAATCCATTTCGTATAAATTGTCAAAATTTTGAATAGTCCCCAGATTGCAAGTAGAGAGTGAAAATGGCTACTAAGTGCCATAATCTACCAAAATTGATCCTGGAATAGACAGTGATGGGTGAGAAACAGATTTTATTGTCAAGAACTGTGAAGGTATAACTATGTATGGTGATGAATGTTAATTAGACTTATTGTGGTGATCATTTTGCAATACATGCAAATGTTGAATAACTATGTTGTATACCTGAAACTAAAATAATGTTGTATGTCAGTTATACCTCAATTAAAAGAAAAAAAAAAAAACTGTGAAGGGTCTGGGATTTTTACCTTACTTGCAAACTAGAGGTTTATTGTACCACAGTTTCACGTGTGCTGTCAGAAGACAAAAGATTCTTGGGTCAGAAACAAAAGACTTTCTTGCTAATGGTACATCATGCAGTGTGAGTTTCATGTTTGTGTTGATTTCAAATATCCCCATCCTCTAAGATATGGAGTGGTCTAGTTAGATATGTACACAGTGGATTTACACTGTGTACTAACACTGAGGAACCCAAAGCTAGGGGAACCCTTTTATTTTAATGAACTTCTAGCAAACCTGCTTGACTTTTCTTTCAGAGGAAGACATAAGCTTTATTATATTAGACCCTGAAGAAACTTGCCACTGCTCAGAGGGAGACACTATCTCTGTCTTGCAAGGCTGTTCATTATACAAACATCCTTAAAAAGGTAGTCAAATATAAGACAGTGCCTCTACTCAAAAGACAGACAGAAAAGTGAGACACCTGTGGAAAATTGCCTCCCAGTTCTCTTCTGTGTATTGCAGCAGCTTGACCACCTTGTTGTGTAAAGAAGTCTAGTACCCTACAACTTGAAAAGAGCTAAAAGATTGCAGTAGAATAAATTTTATTTTTTAAGATAATAAATTTCTTTGCAACTAAACATACAGATTTAATTACTATTTTCATTTTGATGTTATGTTGGATCAAAACTATTCTTTGCTTTCTTTGTATCAAAATCCATATAGTTTAGGCATAGGTGAAATGAGTAAAGGCAGTAAACAGGTACAAATTTCCAGTTATAAAATAAATAAGTTCTGGGGATGTAATGCACAGCATGGTGGCTATAGTTAATAATACTGTGTTGCATATTTGAAAGTGGCTGAAATTAGATTTTACGTGTTCTCATCACAAGAAAAATATTTTAACTATGTATGTTGATGGATGTTAACTAGACTTA